GTGCAGCAGGTACCTGGGGGGGGGGAGGGGAGGAGAGGGGAGGCGAGGTGAGGAGAAGCAAGGCGCTATTGAGGGAGGGGACACAAGGATGGCGAGATGAGAATGGCGAATGGAGGGTGAGCAATTGGGTCAGAGGGGGGGAGTTGACCAGGTGGGGAGGAGGAGAGGGGGAATGAGCTGGTGATGAAGGAGGCAGCAGAGCACGCACAACCTCTAGGCATGGTGGGAGGAAGGCGTGTAAGGGGAAGTGAGAGGAATGGGAGGCGTGGGTGCAGGGTGGTGTGGGTGCAGGGTGGTGTGGGTGCAGGGTGGTGTGGGTGGAGACTGACCGCGAGAGGTGGGTGAAGACGCGGCGGTCGGGGAAGAGGTGGTCCAGCTGGACCTGTGGGGCGAGGCAGAGGGCGGGACAGGAGGCCAGTGGGAGGGAGAGGGAGAGGCGCCAAGGGAGTGGGAGCGAGCGGGAGGGAGAATGGGCAAGCGAGCGCGGAGGCAAAGCAGCAAGACTGACATGCTGAGCGACGGGAGCAGGACGACGGGAGCCATGAGAGAGTGAGCAGTAAGGCGGTGAGAAAGCGGGAGGTGCATCAAGGCATGCGTTCCATGGTCCACCATGGTTCATTATCATGTCTCCAAGTGCCTGCAGCATGGGCACCATGTACAAGTGCACCTGCCTGCAGCATGGGCACCATGTACAAGTGCACCTGCCTGCAGCATGGGCACCATGTAGAAGTGCGGCACGAGGAAGTAGTCGGTGTACAGCGTGGCGAAGGGCGCCCCCGCCATCTCGCGCTGCTCCGCCTCACAGAACATGCCCCACGCGTCCGCCTTGGTACTGGGGGAAGAAAGGCAGCAGGGAGAAAGCAGGGACTTGAATGAGGAAGTGAGAAGATGCGAGAAAGAAAACAAGGGCGGTAAACCAGTAGCCATACTTTGCCATGTCTATTTTACAACCAGTTCCATCACCACCATGATCATCTGCATGCTGACGTCACTCACTCCCATGACATGCGTATGCTGACGTCACTCACTCCCATGACATGTGCATGCTGACGTCATGCCCGTCCCATCCGTTCACGAGCCCACGGTTGCGAGCGATCGACCCGTGCACCGACCCGGAGATGGCGCTGGGGGGAGAAGAGGGGGGGGGATGTGAGAAGCAGGGGTTTGTGGCGAGAGGTGAGAAGGGAGAAGGCGCGAGGTGAGAGGGGTTTGGTGCGCTACCTGCCAGGCATGCAAGGTGGTGCGCTCCCTGCCAGGCATGCAAGGTGGTGCGCTCCCTGCCAGGCATGCAAGGTGGTGCGCTCCAGGCAGTGAGGCAGTGAGGGCTGCAGCAACATGCGGGGGAAGAGGGCCATGCACCTGGACGCACGTAAGGAAGTCGGAATGTGACATGGCAACGTGGCACGAAAATGAGAAAACTGTATGCACACATCGCGACTCGCGTGAAGGCATGGAGGCTCACTTGAAGGCATTTCGGCATAGCGGCTCACTTGGAGGGATCGCGGCATGGAGGCTCACTTGAAGGCATTTCGGCATAGCGGCTCACTTGGAGGGATCGCGGCATGGAGGCTCACTTGAAGGGATCGCGGCATAGCGGCTCACTTGAAGGCATTGTGGCATGGAGGCTCACTTGAAGGCGTGGAGGCTCACTTGAAGGCGTGGAGGCTCACTTGAAGGCATCGAGGGGGATGGTCCAGGAGGAGCCGGCGAAAGGTTCGCAGAAGAAGCGGTGGATGAAGGAGTCCGGGGAGATGAGCAGCGTGCGGTTCGTCAGCAGCGCGTACGAGAATGCTGACATCAGCGCCATTATGCGGTTGCCCACCCCTGCGGTAAGGCAATAGGAGAAACAAGGCAACGTAGAGATAGACGAGGGGAGAGGGAGCCACGTTCACAACCGCATGCTACAATCGCCCTGAACGACCCTCACTCTACGCCACCTCAGCACCTAACCACCTCCTCCCACCCCCCTTTCCATTCAGCCCCTGCGTTTCCACGTACCCTCCCAGCTTCTCATCCCTCACTCTGCTCCTTGCTTCTCCCAGCTTCTCATCCCTCACTCTGCTCCTTGCTTCTCCCAGCTTCTCATCCCTCACTCTGCTCCTTGCTTCTCCCAGCTTCTCATCCCTCACTCTGCTCCTTGCTTCTCCCAGCTTCTCATCCCTCACTATGCTCCTTGCTTCTCCCAGCTTCTCATCCCTCACTCTGCTCCTTGCTTCTCCCAGCTTCTCATCCCTCACTCTGCTCCTTGCTTCTCCCAGCTTCTCATCCCTCACTCTGCTCCTTGCTCCGAGCACAAGCAGTTGGCGCCAGAGTTCAAAATTACGGGGTTTTTTATATTTTTAGCCCGTATTTTACGGTTTCGTAATTTACGGCCGTATAATATGAATATTACGGCTCGAAATCACCTTTTTTTTGGTTGGTTAAAAGAAGCGGCCGTTTTTTACGGCCGTTTTTTTTAATCTGTGGTGTACATTCAGAATCTCGAATTCCGTACCAGAATTTTTGGGATGGGGGTACACGCGCACCCCCAAATGTTCATAAGTAAACGTTTTCCCGAAGCGCGAATTCACCCGAACCCCGAGTCACGCATTTTACCAAAATTTTCTTGTGCCGTTATGAAAGAACCCCTCCCTTCGCGAAACCCGTTGGTTATTTCGCGCCCAGTAGGGTGGTCTCGCGCAATTTGCGAAACCACCCTGTCGAAGCGTGTTTCAAAAACAGAACCCAATGGATTTTGGTTCTCTTTGAAGCCTTTCTCAACCCAACTTCGAAGTGTGTGAGATACAAATACAGAGGACGTTTTCTAAGCTACCACAGGATGTAGTTTGGAGCGTTTTTCTGGCTGGAATCTAAGCCACTTTACTCTACCGCCTAGCAACTCCATATTTCCATGTTTGTAGGTGACATGGTGCATTACTAAGCATTCAGTTGACGTTGAAACCGCATAGGAGCCATTCCCCCTCGGAAAAAAATAAAACCATGTGCTCTATTTAAATTACGCCGTTTTTTTCCCGAACTGCCCGAAAAAAACGGTCGAAATTTACGGACCGTATTTTTCGAAAACCGTAATTTTGAACCTTGGTTGGCGCAGTAGCAAGCAGTTGGTGCAGTAGCAAGCAGTTGGCGCAGTAGCAAGCAGTTGGCGCAGTAGCAAGCAGTTGGCGCAGTAGCAAGCAGTTGGCGCAGTAGCAAGCAGTTGGTGCAGTAGCAAGCAGTTGGTGCAGTAGCAAGCAGTTGGTGCAGTAGCAAGCAGTTGGCGCAGTAGCAAGCAGTTGGCGCAGTAGCAAGCCGTTGGCGCAGTAGCAAGCAGTTGGCGCAGTAGCAAGCAGTTGGCGCAGTAGCAAGCAGTTGGCGCAGTAGCAAGCAGTTGGCGCAGTAGCAAGCAGTTGGTGCAGTAGCAAGCAGTTGGCGCAGTAGCAAGCAGTTGGCGCAGTGCAATGGCTGCTAGGTCAGAATGAAACACCTCGTTGAACCCAATTCAGGTGCTTCTTCGAATCGAACATGATTCCAAAGTCAAAGGTTCTCCGTTGTTATTTGTGCTTACGAGCCCGTTCAGCCGCTCACCCACCATGGCGGGTTCAGCCGCTCACCCACCATGGCGGCTGGGCGGCAGGTACAAGAGGTACTTGCAGTCCCCCAGCGCCTGCATGCCGTCCCTCCACCCCGCCGACCTGAGGCGCCACGCACAGCGCCATGATGGGGGGGAGGGCACAGGGGAAGGGGGAGATGGATTGGGACGAGGGGAGAGGGATGGGAGAGGGGGATGGGGGAGGGGGGGAGAAGGATGGGAAGTGACTTGGGAGCTTCATGGGTGGCGGTTGAAGGCTCACGGGCAGCGGTGGAAGGCTCACGGGTAGCGGTGGAAGGCTCACGGGTGGCGGTAGAAGGCTCACGGGTGGCGGTAGAAGGCGTGCCAATCGGCGACCTGCGTGCAGCGGCGGTGCATGCGGCGGTACTCCGACAGGCGCCGCCTCAACGCCAGCGATGGCGGCAGTTGGCGGTCGGGGCGCTGGGGGGAGAGGGGGGGGTGGAAGGGGGAAGGGCGGGGAGAACGGCGAGAGTGAGAATTGTGGAGGAGAATAGAGAGAGAAAAGTACCAGAGGAAGATGAGAGAAAAGTACCAGAGGAAGATGAGAGAAAAGTACCAGAGGAAGATGAGAGAAAAGTACCAGAGGAAGATGAGAGAAAAGTACCAGAGGAAGATGAGAGGCGGGGGACGAGAGAAGGGAGCGGCGAACGATGACATACATCACCACACGCATGCGCATCTCACCGTGACATACATGCACATCTCACCACATGCATGCATATCTCACCACATGCATGCGCATCTCACCACATGCATGCGCATCTCACCACATGCATGCGCATCTCACCACATGCATGCGCATCTCACCACATGCATGCGCATCTCACCACATGCATGCGCATCTCACCGTGACATACATGCGCATCTCCCACTGGCTCCAGCAGTTGTCTCCCGCCCGCCGCACATGCCGTCTGAACCCATCCGCCCACACTCCACGGCCCCCCATGCCCCCATGGCCGCCCATGCCCCCTTGCTCAAGGCTGCTCCCAGATGCCTCGGGATTACCATCTCTGCTGCCCCCAGGGTCACCACCACCAGTGCTGACGTCATGGCTGCCATTCCCCCCCTCACTGCCATCCCCGTCCAACAGCCGGCGTCGCCCAGCCATCCTATGGCTCCCCCCACCTTGGCTTCTCCCCCCTCGCCTCCCCTGCCCTTGGCTGCGCACGTCTCTTCCCCGCCCGTCGCTGCCAGTAGGCCCCCTGTGAGGCGAGTGGCCCCCCTCGCTGCTGCTGCTGCTGCTGCTGCTCGCCCCCGTGCCTTGAAGCAGCAGCGACTGGCAGCGTGGCCAGAGGGAACGGTGGGGCATAAAAGGTGCAGAGAATGGTGAGCGGTGAGCGGTGAGCGGTGAGCGGTGAGCGGCGAGCGGTGAGCGGTGAGCGGCGAGCGGCGAGCGGTGAGCGGTGAGCGGTGAGCGGCGAGCGGCGAGCGGCGAGCGGTGAGCGGTGAGGGGTGAGCGGTGAGCGGTGAGGGGTGAGCGGCGAGCGGCGAGCGGCGAGCGGCGAGCGGGGAGCGGTGAGGGGTGAGCGGTGAGCGGTGAGCGGTGAGCGGTGAGCGGTGAGCGGTGAGCGGTGAGCGGTGAGCGGTGAGCGGTGAGCGGTGAGCGGTGAGGGGTAAGCGGTGAGCGGTGAGGGGTGAGCGGTGAGGGGTGAGCGGTGAGCGGTGAGCGGTGAGCGGTGAGCGGTGAGCGGTGAGCGGTGAGCGGTGAGCGGTGAGCGGTGAGCGGTGAGCGGTGAGCGGCGAGCGGCGAGCGGCGAGCGGCGAGCGGCGAGCGGCGAGCGGCGAGCGGTGAGCGGTGAGCGGTGAGCGGTGAGCGGTGAGCCGTGAGCGGTGAGCGGTGAGGGGTGAGCGGTGAGGGGTGAGCGGTGAGGGGTGAGGGGTGAGCGGTGAGCGGTGAGGGGTGAGCGGTGAGCGGTGAGCGGTGAGCGGTGAGCGGTGAGCGGTGAGGAGTAAGCGGTGAGCGGTGAGGGGTAAGCGGTGAGGGGTAAGCGGTGAGGGGTAAGCAGTCAGTCGAGTATGCCATGCCAAACCAGTGTGTTCCATCCAACCCCATCGCACCCGCACCATCCCACCGCATCCCATCCCATTCCACTCCATCCCACCTCAACCTATTCCACGCCATGCCGTGCCATCCAGTGCCCACTCACCACGATGCGCTGAGGCAAGCCCATGCCTCCATCCTCCTCCGCTCCACTCACAGCCTTTGTATTGCGCGCCATCGCCGGACCCCAGGCTTCCCATTCCCCCTCCCCCTCCCGCTCCTCCCGCCCCTCTGACCAGTTTCCCCTTGGCACGCCATCATGCGCCGCCTGCTGCGACTGCCGCCCAGCCACCCACCCGCCCGAGTCGTCACTGCCAGCCCCGTCCCGGACGCCCCCAACCGCGCCATGGCTCATTCTAATCCCTCTCTTCCCCGCCCTCACGCCACCCTCCGTTTCAGCCCCTGCCCCCTTCCACACCTCGTCTTCTCCGCCCACCGTCCATCCAGTGCGATCCCGCGCCTCACGGAATCCATATCTTTGCGGTACGGGCACTGACTGGCCCGTCGTCGCTCTAGTTGAAGCCCCGTTCCCAACCTTTTCACCCGCGGAGCCGCCCCACAGCAACATCGCCGCCACTAGCGCCGCGACGCGCGCGAGAGCCGTTAGAGCGCGCTGATTGGAGCGTCGCGCAGGTGGCCCCATAATGGAATGGCCAGGGGACGCGCGGTGCTGCGAGGGGGATGCGGACTCGCGGGAGGGCGACAGCGATGGGCGCGAGGAGATGTCCCAAAAAAGAGGGGTCCTAAAAGTTCCCCACCGTTGTTCGTTACCTCACAGCTGCCCCCAACACTCTCAGAAAACCAACCACGCGAAAAGACCGTGTCACGAGTAATTCGCAAACCGGACTGCACAGGCGGTAACTCGCCGCTGATTGGCGATAATATCCCCAGTGCAACGGGATTCGGTACTAAAACGCCCACCAATTACCATATCGGGGTGACATTTATACATGCCACCAATAACAAAATCAAAGCAACAAAAATATGCATACTTGCCCTCATATTTTTTGGATTGCGGAGCAACCTATTGGGTTGCGGAGCAACCTATTGCGATCGATCGGACCTTTTGTTTTTTCAAGTTTTGGGGCTAAAAATTGCGAAAGAATAAAGAAATTATATCATATTTCACTTTTAGAGTTTCCTAAATCACTTCTATATTTATAAACCTAGTTAACGATACTGAAAGATGCACTACATAGTGTAACTGATTAGTTACACACTTACATTTAGTAATCGTGATGGAAACTTAAAAACAATGTGTTTCTGTTTCCACCATTTTCCGTGCGTATTTTTGTCAATGACAAAAATAAGCTATCGCTTCCCTAGCTAAGTGGGGGAAGCATAAAGCTTTTTGCACAAATGAAGCAATACAATTTTGTGAGCTCCAAAAATGGATTGCACTTAACACTTTCAGTTCAAGTGACTGCACTCAAAGAGAGAGTCAAAGAACCTTATGTGAAATGAAAGGCACAAGACCACTTTTTGAGACAAACAAAAGATGTATTACCGAAGCAAAGAAAGAATGAAACCATTCCACTCACAACGCATGAGTCACTCCTAACATTGCAAATCAGATGCACAAAGATGCCACATTTTGTTAAGCTTCAAATCTCTGAGACATAGGTACATGGCTTCATTGGCGCCATCCAGGGATAGTTCGGCGTTTTCAAAAACAGTTGAAACCTTCAGTCAACAAGAACAAGAGAATCAAGAAGAGAGTAAATCAATTTTGAAATAGAAGAGGGAATGGAAAGGTATGGAGCGGGCGAACAGGTGATGAAACTAAAACGGAAGAGATAAAGACGGGCGAAGTGGAGGATGGAAAGGAGCGAAGGGAGAGAAAGGAGGGAGAGGAAATAGTATAATGTAAAGGGAGTGAGGGAAGAGAGATAAATTGCGTAGTGTGCGTTGTAGATGAAGTCCGCTCGGTTATCCTCTCTTCTAGCTTGAGATTTAGCTAATCGGGGGAGACAAATAACAGGAAATGGGAAACATAGAGAAAGTATTGAGAGGATACAAAATGAGGAGGAGAGTAAGGAATAAGGCTGAGAATCCGTCGGAAAAGGAGACGTTAGATAAAGGAGAGGATGTAACGGAGTGAAAAGGAAGGACCGTTCATGAGAGGTGTTGCAGGTCAAGAAATCGAGCTTGAATAGTGCGCTGTCTAGATTATCCAGCTGACTATTTCGAACGCCGCATCCCTCACTCGACGTAGGATCTAGGCATAGGAAATAGAGGAGCGTAGAAAATGTGGAAGAAACTAATCTAAGGAAGCTCGATTTTGTTAGGAACGTCAGAGCTTAGGTAGGAAACAGAGAGCGCAAGGTGAAGAGACACGCTACAGGATGAAACCCTACGGGATGAAGAGACACGCAAGATTCATCGCAAAAACAAAGGATTAGGACGTGTTTTACTTGATACGTTCAGGTGAGGTTAGTGCAATTGTTTGATATTCAGCAATTGTTCGTAAAGTCATCAGAACGATCCACGTCGGGTCCGTTTTATGGCAAGGGACTGAAAGTCCTAAAATCTCTTGCAGGGAATATGTTCTTGCAGATGCACTCACCACCACCCAGAATGTATGAACATTTCTTCTTACAAAAACAAACAATTGAAGCAAAATACTATCTTAAAATGTTATATTCTACTGCTCCGCAACCCTAAGACAACCTCGTCGCCTCTTGTTTTTTATCCGCTAAGGCCTAATGGATTTGTTGGATCCAAAAAAAATATCACATTCAAAAAACCAATTGGACCGCGCATAGATGATACATACCGTACAACATTTTTTTGTTCGCACTGTATAGTCATTATCCGAACGTCAGTTCCTTTCCAAATTTGGTTTCGGTCAGGTCGATTCTGACACATCCGGCTGAGCAGTGATGTACTGTAGTGACGTGACAAGGATGTGACGAAACGTAATGGCTCCGGATAAGATGTTATGTCTTCGACACAGGCTGGCTTCGCTATAACTATTCACTTCGTCAACAAATCAGCACGCGCCAAGGTCCAATGCTTTCGTCGCGTTGGAGCATGAGCTGTCGGAACCGAAGGGGCCTCTCATATTCTAGGATTTGCGTCCTTCATGAGCTCCCATTTCATCCACTCTCCCCCGACGTCCTCTCATCCCCAATTGCCCTGTCTCACGCCCTTATTGAATTAGGTTGGCATTCTTTTTTTTCGCCGCCATGCATTCTGATACGCTATACCAAGTTACGCCACCACACCGCCGCGTCCTTCCTTCGCTGCCTACCCTCTCACCCAATTTTGTTATTCGTCCCCCTCTTTCTGTTGTGTGTTTCTACTATGCTCGGGGAAAATGCAAGCCCAACGTGAACGCTAGCTTCAGCAACGGGACGTGTCATGGCGGTTCGCTTCTGTCCGTGCCCCGCTTTTTGGCGCAGAACCGCATACTGCTGTTTGCGCTAATTTACCCCGCACGGTATGTAACAGAAAGAAAGAATGAATGACTAGAGTGGTGAGATACAAGGCAATATATTCTAGAGAGTTGTACCCACTAAGGCACAAACATATATAGTCTACAGTAACTGCATAAGCTATGTTTGACACACCCCCTAGACTATATAGGGGCAGTGCCTAACAAGGGAAGAAGCAGCTCAGGGCGGTACTACTAGTCCAACCTCTGAGACAAGGGTCTAAAGTCCAGTCAAAGGAATACAGACAAGGTAAGAGCAAGACCAGGGTGGCACTACTAGTCCAGCCACTAGGAGAGGCCACAAGGCCAGTCAGGGTAAAAAATAATATATATATATATATATATATATAAATATATAAAGGACAGTACAAGGTCAAGACCCTAGCAAGTGAGAGGCTACAGGAACGAGACCTAGCTGTACACAGTGTCGCTGATGATCTTTAGGCGCAAGCGCCTTCGTAAAGATATCAGCTGTGTTGGCACCGGAGGCCAAGTGTACTACGCGCGCCAGGGGGCGCTGCTGGAGCTCACGCGGGAGGAAAAATCGCAGCTGGATGTGCTTCGCTCTGCCCTCGAGTCGAGGCTCCTGACATAGGAGGATCATTGCCCTGTTGTCAGCGTACAGGACCGGGGCACAGCCAGGCCGCTCACCTAAGTCAGTGAGCAAGAAGATCAGCCAGCGGAGCTCCTGTGCCGCCATGGCACCAGCGTAGATCTCGGCCTCACAGCTGGACTGGGCAACAAACGAGGAGCGGGTAGCTCTCCACGAGACGGCGCCTGAACCAAGTCTGAAGCAGTAGCCTTGCGAGGACCTGAGGGTCTTGGCGTCTTCTGCCCAACAAGCGTCACTGTGTCCAGTAAGGACCACTGGCCTGCGTCCTCCTAGCACTAACCCCATGCCCGATGTACTTGCAAGATAGCGCAAAACCCTCTT